GAGATGTAGCTTTTAATCAACAAAGGATAATTTTATTGAAGCTAGAGGAATTTCATCTTCAAGCAATGAAATCAACATTGATTATTGGTTCAACATTTTTCAAATTAATTTAGTGAAGTATGTCTTGTGATCCTCTTATTCATGATATCAAGGATATTTATTTTAAGTCTCGTAATACTTCTAAGTTTGAATTCAAGAACAACCTACTTTATTTTGAAGGATACATATATGTGCTAGAAAGAGAAGCATGTTTATGTGTTCTTCAAGCACATTACGACTTTCTAGCAGCAAGACATTTTAGATATAACAAGAATTTAGAAGTAATATCTATAGATTTTTGGTGGCCGCATGTAAATCAAGTTTTGGAGCAATACTTAAGGTGTACCATCAATTATCAACAAGATGATTGAAGAACCTTCTTGCCATTGGCAGAATTCACTTATAATAATATGATGTATTCTTCTATAAAAAGATATTTTTTGAAGTTGGCATTGTATGCTAAATTTGCTATATAAAATTATATTATGGCTATTATACTAATTTTTCTTTTATTTTAATTTTTTTATACTAGATTGATCTAATATATGTATATTTTGGTAATATAAGTATTGTTTGATTCTAAAGCTACAAATAAGTTGATTTTACATTTTACACCTTTATAGTTTAAGCCATTTATAAAAAAATAGATGGAATATTATTTAAGACCATTGCTATTCTTTTCTATTTGATCTTTCAAAGATACTTCAATTTTTACTTTTAAAGGGACTTTTTCTTTCATTGTAGATATTGAACTAAAAATAATACTCTGGTTAAGATCTAAAATAATCTTTATTCTTACTTCTCAATAATACCCTACTTCTTGCAATTCAAGTAAAAGCATCTTATTCCATCTTCTATAGGTTTTGAGCGCCTTGTACTTTAAATATTGTGGTAGTAATTCAAAGGCATATGACTCAATGAAAGTAGGATATTTTTGGTATTTTTTCTTCATCCATGGTTGAAATTTGAGCTTTCAATCTAAGAAATAAATATCTCCAACTTATCTTAGAAATTGATTTTTTACCACACTACAAGAATCATCTTCCATCTCATAAAATATATTCACATTCAAGATCTAAAGCTTTTTAGTTATATCCAATATTAATACTTGCTTGAAGTCTTTGATGAGGCTATTGTCTAAGTAATTTGGTGAAAGTAATCAATAATATCAACTCTTAATATGTACCATAAAACAGATTATGTGGATATTTGCAACCATCTAAAGGCTTAAGAGTAACTTGTGCTTGCAACTACTACCAATCTTTGTAGTTTATTGGTAATCATTTTTGGATCAGTACAAGACCAATAAGCTAATAAAAAAAAAGATCTCATTTGCCATCAATCCAATCTTATTCCTATAATATACCTATCAACATAAACTAATACATTATAAAATAAAGTAATACCAAAAATCCTCCAAGAATAATATTTGTTCTATAATTTCAACTTTATTGCATCAAAATTTGTGGTCTAATATGCCATTTGTAGATAAGAAGTTAGTTCAAACTTACACATCTTTAATACAATTTAATTTTTTATTACATTAAATATTATAACAGATATATTTTTACTAAAAATAAATAAGATGTGAAGGCACATGAAGTTTGAAAACTGATATATATATATATATATATATATATATATATATATATATCAAAAACATTAGTTGAGAATTTTACTACAATTATGCTAAATTCAAAAATTATACAAGAATTTCTAATGTCATTCATATAATCTCTCTTTCTTACAACTCTTGCTTATAAAGCTACATTTTATTAGATATATTCATAAATAATTCAATCACTATAATCTTTCTTAAGATCTTGCTTCCTTCTACAATAATTACAAACGGCTTCATTGACTTTTGTACCATGCTTGATATGCATTCTAATTCTTTTACAAGTAATAAACCGACAACTTAAGAGGTTACATAGTCCATAATTTCAACCATTGATGCATGCATCTTATGAATAATGCAAAAAGTATCTAGTACAATAAAATCAATATTATTCAATATCATGTAATGTAGCATTGGATACCATATCTTATTGGATATATATAATTTAATTTAGTTTAGTGGTTTTTCATCCACTTAAAATTATTTATTAGTTGAATTTATTAATATCAATTAGATTTAAAAACTTATATAGAAATTTTTTTTTGATTAGATATTCTTATTAAGTTAAGTCTTTTAAGTAGTTTCTAAAAATAAAAATAAAATTATGTTATAATTGTTTGCTTGGTTATAATAAGTTAGTCAATTATTAAAGCTTTAGAGTTTTTTCAACTCATACTTGTACTCTTAGATTTCTCTTTTGTAGTATAAAAGGTAGTTTGATTTAGTTGCATACAGATTAATCATTTTATTCTCAGTTTATTGATTGTGAATTTTTATATGATTTAGATTGCATAATTTTGGATTAATTTATGACATCCAACTGATTGTATACAAGTACCTTTATTTACACAATATCAATAATTTTTTTAAAAACTTAATATTTATGGTAATAATCACATATTGTATCCTTGAGATACAGACATCTTTCTATTTTTTAATGTATTTGATCTACTACTACATCAATTCTTGCGCCACATCAAGTGCAATAGAAAAAATAAAAAAAATAAATTATAATTTCTAACACTAACAAGCTCTTACATTACAATTTTATTGCATATCATATTATAACTAGCTCCTATATACTCTTATTTGTTATTGTAATACCTTAATATCTCAACATATAAAAATAGTGCAATTCTATTATACCTCTAACAAAAATATATTGTACTAATTGAACCAACTCCTATAGCTTTAATTGCGTCCAAACTACAACTTAAATGTATGACCAACATAATGGGCTTTTATGACAATATTGTGTCTCAACAATATATTCAAACTAACAAAATTAGACAAAACTTATATTTAAAAGCATAATACCACAATGCAATAGGATCTAATAATAAAATATTGCTAAGCAACATAAGAATTTTAAAAATTAAAGAAGTATTTTGTTTTTTTATATATATATATATATATATCAACTCCATTTCAATCTACTACATTACAAGTTGAAAAAGAGAGGACATTTTTTGTTAAGTAAAAGATGATAAATTTATATACAAATGAGTCAAATTACTTTTTATACTTTAAAAGAGAAATCTAAGAGTCCAAGTGTGAGTTTAAAAAATCCTAAAGCTTTACTAAATTGCTAAATCACCATAGCTAATCAAATCCTTATAATACATGTTTTTTTTTCTCTCAAAAACTACTCAAAGAATTAACTTGACAAAAATATTAAATTAAGAGAGTTTTCCATGTAAGTTTTTAAATCTAGGTGATACTAACAAAAAAAACTAAGTAGATGAAAATCACTAAATCAAACCAAATTGCATACATCCAACAAGATTTAGCACTTGATGCTACATCACATGATACAAACTTTTTTTTTCTTTTTTTTCTTTGCTTTTAGGTTATGTTATTTTTGTATATATAAATTTTATTTTAAGTTTCATAATTCTATAATTAGCTTTTTATTATAAATAATATAAATTAATGATGAATCTTATATAATATACTATGTTTTAGATAGATATATGTTTAAGATATAATAGATGATTTCTTTTTGGTCTTGGTTGTAAAGAGTATTATACTTTGAAATTAATTATTGCACATTATGATTTATAAAAATATGTGATTGATACAAAATATATTATCAATATGTCATGAAAGAAATAGCATGTATAAGAATTTAACTTCAATTAAGCTTTAAAAAATTATTAATTTTTACTTATAAATTAGAAATTATTTTTGACTTTGATTTCAATATGATACCATCTTAAATGTTATCCAATTTAAATTATTTTATTTTTAAATATATTATATTTTATATAAAAAATAATATTTTTTACCTACAAAACTTATTAATTGATTAAAGTTATTAGCATTGTTTAAAATCTATAATTGACATTATGTTAAATCAATTATAAGCACCATATAAAATTAGTGATTTAACATAAGCAATAACCACAAAATCATTCATTCTTTGAAGTGGCATTGATGATGAATAGTTCTTGCTCTTTATCAGATTTTCAAACTCTCAACTCTAATTTATTGCAAGCTATGGATGTTCACATTGTGCATGAATCTCCAAGGGAGTCATTAGAACACCAAGAACACTAGGAATATGGAGAACATGTACAAATTCTATTATATGTGTATATGGAGGTTAAAAAGTAATTGCTTGAAAAGTATTTTTATGTATACTATATACATATGTATGTATGTATGTATGTATGGAGGTATATTGAATGATTTGGATTGAAGTCTTCTTTAAAAAAAATTAGTGTGAATAAAACTAGTAATATTTGTTTATATCTTATCTCATTTTTTGTAAATATATAGGACATTTATTTTGAAGATTATAACAAAACAAATAAATAAAAAATAACAAATGTAAATATAAATATAAATATATATATACATATTACTTTATTATTAAAATTTTACAACCAATGTTGTGTATTGTAAAATGTTTAAGTAAAAACAAACAATTTAGTAGCTAATTGACTTTGACAATTATTTAACTTGCTAAATGTTTTTCTTCTAATATATAAATAAAATAAATAAATTTATATATACAAATTTCGTTGAGGATTTGTTAGTATTTAAATAAAATAAAGCCATTGTAATAAATAAAAAAATACTTGGGTACGAATGATAAGAACAATAATCTTATTCTGCTTGTGCATGTGTGCAGTGACGAATCGAGGAGTAGGACTAGGAGGAGGAGATGAACAATTGGATGGAGCCTCCGTGACGTTGTACGACGGGAGTAGAAGTGGGAGTGGAACCAGTGCAGCAACGTCGGAAAACTCGCACCCCAACCAACGGACCAACGGACGAACGAACAAATGACAGAAGTTAGGGTTTCTAACAAACCGGAGCCCTAGTTGAAGCGAAGCTAAGGGCAGAGGGGGAGGAGAAGGGGAAGAGCAGAGAAGAGAAGGGGTTGGAGGGAGAGAGGCTGGAAGCGAGGGTAAGGTGGAGACCAGGAGAGCAGCGAGGGCAAGACTATCGTGCGTGAGCATAATTCGTTGTTGTCTCTGTGGCTCCTTGCCTTTCTCCTCTTCTTTTAACCTGTACCACTACTACTGCCCCTACTACCCGCGTTTTCCACTTAGATTCCTACGAAGATTTTTTTCTCAAATTTAATTTTCTTCGATGGCTGGTGATGGCGAAGATGATCGCAATGAGATAGAGAAGGATCGACGCAAGCGCCTCGCCGTCTCCCCTATTGCTAAACCCCTCGCCGGGAAAAAGCTTACAAAGAAGACTCTTAAGGTTGTCAAAAAAGGTACCCCGTCCCATATTCTCTCTCATCTCCTTCCCTATTCTGCTGGTTTATCGTATCCTTTTTGCGTGTGTTTCGGATAGGTTGGGACTGCGCAATGCACTATGCCCGCTTTCTATATGATTAGAGTGGGCAGTAGTGATGTTGTCTAGTTTGAGAGATGGAAAATTCGTAGTCCTGTTCTAGAGACTGTGGACACAATCTGTGAGCTTTTTCAACATGTCTGCCTTTGTTAAGTTCATCCGAAAATTCAGAAACTTGTATTGAAATTGCATATAGATTCGGATTTTGTTTTTTTGTTTTTCGTTTTATGCGCTGGGTCACTGATGTTGTTGAGACTTATGTTGCTTTATACAGCTGCATCGTCGAAGCAGCTGAAACGAGGGGTCAAGGAAGTTGTCAAAGCAATCCGGAAAGGGCAGAAAGGGTATTCACTTTCACTGATGAGTTCATTCCTAAACCAAGGCCAACACACCTCACATTCTGGAGCAACGTGAGGTGTGTTGGCCTTGGTTTAGTTCATTGTTATACATCGTTTCGTATTTGAAAGCATGTAAAATTTTGGAGGGATTTGTATGTCGATGGTTATCCTAGTACATATTTGCTAAATTTACTACTTTTTTGACTTACTGATCAAGTCTTGTTTCGTAGGTTGGTTGTTATTGCTGGGGACATCTCACCTATTGATGTTATAACACACGTACCTATTCTCTGTGAGGATGCCAATATTCCTTACATATACGTTCCTTCTAAGGAGGTGGGTGTTTGTTTTCTTCTGTCGTCTTTCATATCTCAAGTGATTATACGATTTTCTTGAAATTTTTATTCTTGCTGGCTGCTACGCCCACATAAGTAATTGTTGATGCCAACTTTTGCAGCAACTAGTTTTCTCTTGAAATTACGAGTGTTTTATCCCATTACGGATGTGCTTACCTTACTATTGTCTTCTTGTGAGTTAGGTGTTACAGTGACCAATGGCCTTCACGTGTCTGATGATGTCCTCGTAGATCATTAGCAATCTGAATTGTCTTCTTCGCTCTTAACAGAGATCACTGGCCTTGGACCTGCAGGACTTAGGGGGAGCAGGATCTACGAAGAGACCCACTAGCTGTTTACTTGTATTACCAGCCCCACCCAATGGTGGAGTGAGTGAAGAGGAAAGTGCCAAGTTCAAAGACAGCCTTGATGAATTAGTTAAGGAAGTGAAGGTCTTGTCGCAGGCAATTTATGCGTGACTACGGTACACCTCCTAGAGGCACACTGCGTCCTTTCTAGATACGACTGGAGTTTCATTTTAGGCTGTCTGAATCCGGTGATGTCAAGCCCCTATGCTAACTATGTATAACGAAGCTAGGTGTTTTACAAGCCTTTATTTCCTTCAGACTATCCGACTTCTTTATTTCACAAGTCGATATTTACATCCATGCCTGATACACCATTTAGTCGATAAACAGTGAACAGTCCTCAAGCTTAGAAGTGTAAACGAATTTAGCGGTGTGATCCGGCACTTTCATTACCTTGCATGGTTGTACTTCCAATTCTAGTAAATACGCGAAAAAACACCTGAATCATAGTCATTTCCGTTTCATCAATGTCACAGTTCATTCGCCTCCTAAACCACCAGAGATTTTCTCAACAAAACTTAACACTACAATGTATTGTGAACTTCAATTCGTACTCTACTCTGGAACGAAAGGAAATCAATACACTTGTACTTATTGAAAACAGACAAATTCCACCGTTGCAGACAGTGTAATAGATCTTTTTGTAGTTAAGATTTTATTTTGATTTGGTACTTGGTTGCTTATTTATCTCCTATTCGCCACTTGCGCATGGCTGTTAAACTATCTAATCCAGTGAGCAGTCATTTGTGAAACTCACTCAGACTAACAGAAATACTTTTAATCAATCTTCATGTACCATCTGCAGTTACGAAGACTTTTAGAGAAAATTGTACGAAGTGCACGTAGACAATATCGAAGATGCTCATCTACGTAGTTTCAAAGCATTACGAACCAGTTCTACGCACAAGCTCTCACAACTTTCGGACGAAAAGTCAGACAATTTTTCGTGAAGTGCTTCATTTTCAAAATTAGTAGAGCTGTTTCGGCCGTGATACACTACAGTTTCAAACTACCAACGAATGAGAGAACTGATCTTGGATACAGGTTACCTTCCCCTTTTTTTTTTCTTAAGAAATTGACCAGTCCGTTTCAGCTCCGCATTTGAGTCCACTACGAGACGATGTTTATCTGGTACAACTTCGGCAATGCTTACAGATGCGGAAGTTGCTATGAAAAGCCACAGGATTTCACACCGTCTTTCAGAACAGAGATCAGCTGCACCAAATAAACTAGTCCAAATGATCAATTACATCGCAACAAAATAGGACATAAGCAATGCTTATGTGCAAAAGGAACATACGCATTTGACATGTATGCATCCAATCTCTTCGTAAATCCCTTCGTAAATCCCTGAATTTGTAGGAAATCTCTATGGTTGACACCTATTGATTCACATGTACATTTGTATGCAGTTAGTAATATGGAAAACTTACTCATATAACCGGAACTACTGGCGAGGCAAGTCAGTCGAGCTTTCGTTTCGGCCTGCATAAGAGGCACCGGAGCAGATCTATCCTCAGAGCCCACCATTCGGGTATCCCAAATCTTTAGCAGTCCATCTGAAGATGCAGAAGCGACTATGACTGGTGAGCCGCTACTATGTTCATCTGTGTCAGATCTGGATTCCAAGATTGCAACACCCTTAATCCGATTGGTATGCGCGTTCGTAACCGACCATGCTTGCTTCCCTGATCTCGTGTCCCAAGCCCTGACAATGCAGTCTTCACCCCCAGTGACCAACATACTATCCTGTGGGGTTCCAATTAATTAAACTGTTTAGTCATCACTGATGAGAGGAGAGAATCAAAATATGCTTGACTGCCATACCAAAAGAGATAATATCCTCTACAGATGTTGAGTGCAGAAATCATGGCGGCATAATCCTAGCACACGAGTGCATTCTAAAAAGGGGTATATGTAGCAAACTAATTTATGGCTTGGAAATTGGGATGTACTCATGAATGTTTAGTTTTAAAACTTTAAAAATAAGATTTGATCATCCGTATTGTTCGACAAGAAAAGAAGAGAGAATAAAAAGATAAAATTTTAAAAATTAAAACTGACCTACCTGGTGATCGGCCATGCAGAATACCCTCTTATCATGCTCGAGACGATGAATCGTGCTCCCTATCTCTGCATCACGAATTTCGAGGACTACTCCTACGGCCAACGCATACGAGTCACCGTTTTGTGGAAAGAACTTCACAATCTTGGCTTCTGAAGGCAGTCTGGTAGTGAAACTGCATCTCCCTTTCGTTAAATTCCACATTTTCATAAAGTGATTTCGCTCTTCCGTTCAATGTCTCCTACTTTTATCGTTATTTCGCAACTATTCTTCCGAGGTTGTTCAGTTTGTGTTTGCAACACTACTTATTCAAGAGTTTGAAGGCCTAGACCTGTCTCCCTCCTTTTCTCTTTTTTGTAATGAAAGATAAACAATTCTGCTGATGGCATGTTTCAACTCCCTTTATCGTCATTTAGAAAAGTTCCCTTACTAATTCTTTTTTGTAATGATAGATAAACAATTCTGCTGATGGCATGTTTCAACTCCCTTTATCGTCATTTAGAAAAGTTCCCTTACTACTTCAGGTTTTATTTTTCATATTTATTATTATCCTCTTGTGTAAATGATACAATTTTTTTGTTTGAAAAGAAAAATTCATACTTATAACATTGAATACATACCTTAAAAAATAAAAAAAACAAATCCCACCATACAAGCACTTATGTTGATCAATGCCCCTTGTGAAAATATCATCACGGACTAGTGTTGTTATAGATAAGTACAACAAAGACCATTGTATAACATAATATGAACAAAAAATATTCAATCCGATAGTTATGTTGAAGATCAACAAGTACTTCCTTAGAGATTAAGCATAGTATGTTGCTAATAGTAAAAAGGCAGCAAAGAGTTAAAAGAAGTTACTATGGTAGCACCTAGGATTTAGTTGAATGAAGTAGAAATAGATGTAATATCAAAAGGATGGAAGTTACCTCGTTGGTTAGCAAACCACTACCTACAAGTAAAAGGTGTTGGAAGTAAGAGTTATCTTATTCCACACTTTTGTTTGTATGCAAACTTTGTTAATGCTAAGTGTATGCAAACTTTTACACTTCTTTTCTTCAATAAGTTATAGGCCCACTCACATTTGCTTGAATGTTTTGAAGTTCTTTGAAGTGGTTGTTGATGTATGGAGTAGATCAAGTTGTTGTTGCTAATGTTAGGATTTAGAAGTACCTAACTTTTAGATTCAAATCTAAATCTAGATCTTGGTTTGTTCTTACTTGTGGTTAATAATATTTTGGTGTTGGTGGTTGGTTTTTCACCTTAAGGCAAAGTTATAGAACACTTGCATTGTGCTATTGTTGAGATAGATCCTTGGTGGTCTAACTTTGTAGTTTCATGTTCTAAAGATGTTGATTGTGTTTAAAAGACCTCTTATGGTGTATAGAGGTGATTTGTGAGCATAAGAGTGATATTTGAGTGACAAGTGAGATTTGAGACATTAAGATAGGTCATTAGACTTGTGAGAAGCCTTAGAAGTAAAGTTGAGAGTGTTTTTAAGAATAAGAACATAAGTTTGTTTAGAAAGAAGGATTCTGTGATTCTAATGCAGCAATACTTTCTTGCTGATTTTGAGGGCATTAGGAATTTTTCTTTCAATTTTTTTTGATACATCTCTCCCTTCAACATGGCTTTAAGTGAAGGTGAAGGATTGAGAGTTATTGAGAAGTTTAGAGGTGAGAATTTCTACCATTGGAAGGTAAAATTGGAACTTTTGTTGGCATCTTTGGATCTTTGGGATATTATAGATAAAAGTGAAGAGGCTCCAAGCATAGATACTCATATGAAGGAGAAGAAGGAGTTCAAATGTCGTAAAAAGAAGGCTTTTGGATTGATTGCAACCAATGTGGATGAAACAAACTTCTCCCAAATTATCTCTTGCAAAGAACCAATAGAAGCATGGAAGATACTTTGCAACATGTATGAGAGCAAAAACTTATCCAACATCATCTATACAAGGAGGAAGTTCTTCACTTACAAGATGGAAGAAAGTAAAGACTTTATGGCTCATGTCAATAAGATAAAGGCTCTTGCAAACCAAGTAGCAATTGTTGATAAGCCTTTAGAAGAAAGTGATATTGTCATGACATTGCTGATGAGCCTTCTCGAATCCTACAACTATCTTATTGTGGCATTAGAGTCTATTAAGCTAAAAGAGCTTGTAATGGACTATGTGACGATAAGACTTATCCATGAAGTAATGAAGAAGAAAGAAAATGAGCTCCAAAGTGAAGATTCATAATTCTACTCATGTCAAGGCAAATGCAACTATCCAAATCAATGAGGTAATGTGAAATCTTACTTCATTTGTAGCAAAGTAGGCCATTTTGCTTGAAATTACTACAAAGCCAAAAAGATGAAAAAAGAAAATATAAATAGTATATAAGATGAGTTTGGGAGATAAGATTATGCATTCACGGCAACAAATGGGACCTCTATGGCTGCCATGTCAAGATGGATTGTGGATTCAGGTTGTTCCAAGCATATGATACCTTATAAATATTCATTTGACACTTATGAGGCTATTTTAGCATCAAACGTGGTGTTGGTGGATAGTGGTACATGTGAAGTCATTAGAATTGGCTCTATTATGGAGGAGGTGGTTGTGAATAGACAAACTAATAGGATTAGATTCAAAAACGTCCTTCATATGCCTAAGATGAAGCAAAACCTAATTTCAATGAGTAAACTTGTAATAGAAGGTTTTAAAGTTTAATTTGACATAAATGGATGTTTTGTAAGAACATTAAGTAGAGACAAGGTCTTGAAAGGCTTGAAAGAAGGAAATTTGTATGGAGCACCTTGAGCTTGCATTCACTTTGTTTGTATGGAGCACCTTGAGCTATGAGTTTTAATCGGAAGCTGTGGTGAATGCAATGTATATAAGAAATAGATGTCCAATAAGTACTTTTGCATCAATGACACTACAAGAAGCTTGGAGTAGGAGACAACCTTGCATTTCCCATATGAAAACCTTTGGTTGCATTGCATATGCAAAAATACCAGAATGTATGAGGTCCAAACTTGATGCAAAAGCTACAAAGTATATGTTTTTTATTATTATGAAGGTACTAAGACATATAGGCTAATGTGCTTGGAAACTAAGAAGATCATCAAAAGTTGTGGTGTTGAGTTTTTGGAGCATAAAAATGCTTGTGAGCACTTAAAGATGTGTCCAAGTGGGAGTAATAGTATATTTGTGGATTCATCTTTGAATTCAACAAAGAAACAAGAAGATGAAGATAATGAAGATGATGAAGATGAAAAACCAAAGAAGATTGAAAAGATGAAGGCTCCTATAATTACTAGGAATAGCAATGAAAGAAATGAAGATGTTGAAGATTATGATGATAATGATGATGAGGAGGAGCACCAACCATTGAGTGAGAAAAGACA